TAAGATGCTGGCGAACAATTGTAGACGTGTCAGTGTCCTTTAGACTACTGCAACGGGAAGTAATTGGTCTTAAAATAACCTCTGTCTTGTGAAATATTCACACTGCAGCACAGCCTGTGACCATACATAACTCCGATATACAGGAGGTTTGTTAACGCCACTTCGACGTATGTCACATACCTGTTGGAGCATGACTCACAGGCAGCCCTGCTCTCCCTAGAATTCACACAAAAACGCTCTTAGTGCGGGTATTTTATTGATAATGAGTAACAAAAACCCTTAACCCAGGGTATGAATGCAGTGACCCCGAGTCGGTGAGCGTGGGGGCGATGTTACACACTTTCATTGTAAACACTTTAATTGTTGTGGAGAAAGAGCTATGGGAACGAGGCATGGTCTGATGAGTTATTGTCTTACCCGCATTCCCCACGACGACGCTTCGTGATGATGCTGAGCTCGGACCCATATCGAAATGTTGGACAGTCCGCCCAAGCATTGCCTTAAGCGGGTATGACTGCTGACGAAACACCGAATGTCAAAACCTGCTCGATGTTGTCTTGTATTGAACCAGTGCCGCTGAAAGAATCCATTCATTCGACGGACATGTGGCCGATCGGATGTGTCCACAATTTCATTTACGCGGGGAGGCAAATGTGTGCTTTTTTGTGTTGTGCACTATTGGTTAATGTCCGTAGTGTCATTCCCCCCATCAGCGCTTCTTTACAAGGAAGCCGGTTACTCAATATCGGCCTGCAGCCACGCTGAGCCCCTTTGTGTCACGCACACACCACCCATTTGCATGAACTCGCGGGTTGTCGTCGTCAGCAGAGAGCGACGTCCTGGGAGGGCCCCACACCCCGCTGGCAAAACTGGAAGTGGCGCGGGATGGAGAAGCAATTCGCGAGCTCCTGAGAGACAGAGAACAATGGGCCGCGTCCTGAGACGAAAACCGCCCTCGCGGTGATGAGCCCAGCGACTGCCGATAGCAATTAACGATGCACTCAGAGAGACGGCGTAGACGTACCCCGCGGGCTCCTGTATCGGAGCGCATGCGGGAACGGTGCAGCGCTGTGTCGTCCACGTGTCTATAAACGCTTTGTGAGTTGTATTACGGCAATTAGGACCGTGTTATTGACGAATGTGCTGAGTTAGTTGTTGTTTTGAGATGTATGTGCAGTAGTATCGGAGTGCGTTGTATTGTTAGCGATACAGAGTCTTTATTGGTCAACCAGTGCAGTACACACTTTGAGACTTAACTTCGCTTCTCTTTTTTCAATTAGGATCTGGTTACAAGTTAGATAAACAAATCCCCGTGTAGCCGGAACGCCACGCCTTTGTCTTCCTAGCGTTGATGTGTACACACCGTACCTGGAATTCATTTAAGGCTGAGTTGACCTCGGGGAGGCCCAGTAGCGCTTCAAATGTTGCGCCACTGATATTGTACAAAGTAATAATTATATACACGCGCACGCCTCTTTCTAGTAAAATACATTACTGGACAAACATACGCGCGATTATCTCATTTCAACCAAATAATTAACACATGCAAATTAAAACAAGAGCAAACCGAGGTGATGCGTCGCCTGTGGCTAATTGCCCAGTGTTGTACGATGCGCTAACGATCACCATCATCATTGTCATTGTATTTCAACTACATTTGTAATCAGCTGAGCGCACAATGACACGAGACGCGTCTCGAGGCGCGCGATCTCCATCCAATCGTTGTTGTCGTTGTTGTTGTAAATACTCTCGCGTACATCTACCCAGGCGAGCTTCCACCCAGGGAGAGATGCAGCTTTGTGTTTTCCCACTGAGCTATTTGCAGGGGTTTCTTCTTCTTATTCAAATGTGGACCTAATCACGCCGGCACATGCCTCATCCTCTTTGTCGAATAATATCACGGGATCTTTGACGTCCACTGTAAAGCAGACGGCGCCGAGTGCTTTGGTTATTATCATCATCATGATCATCATTATTATTATTCCCGCAGTATTGACCAGGACGGCCGTGGCACGAACCTCTCTGCAACAACGACGAGAGAGAACACCGAACACGTCATAGATTTAGCAGAACCTGGAAATGGCACAAATATTAAACAGGGACTTTTCCAGCCACGTTGCGCCCTTTACCTGCAGAGTTGCAACGCACGCAGAGCTTTAAAGCCCACAATATACAGTGTCTGACCTGCTCAGAACGAGTCTATGACGACTGGACCATGGACCTGTCCATATCACGCAATACAAGAAATACGTGATGGCTTTAAAATTGTGCCACAATGTTAAAGTTGGACTCCAGTTATATCTGCGGAGTGCCACTGCCCGAAAAGTCAACCTATTTTGTTTATTGCTTCTCGTTTGTCAATTTTTATATTCTGCCCTGTTGTCAGTCCACTGTTGGATGAGGTTCATTTCCCACGCCTCGACGGAGGTTGTTCTGGAGTGCATCCAGAGAGCGCGTTGATCGCGACGAGTGTGTCACGATACCAAGCCGCGCCTCTGTGCTGCAGAGCGTGAGGCTCGGGTTTGTTGAAAGTTGACCCGGGCCAGACGGCCCCATCAATAATTCCGCGTGCAGCAGCAGCCGCCGTGGTGAGGCCGCGTAAATAACTCGCGAGCTGAGCACCCGGCTCGTCTCTCGAGATGAGAGCTGTCATCATCAGCAGCAGCAGTGATGGATCCACTGCTGTATGAAGGCCCTCCCCTCCGCGATGTAACAATCCACCTAGACACCTGAACATGCGCTCCACTTTACGTTTCTCAACCTGCCTCCGACGTTCTCTCTGATCCGCGTGTCCAGAGCGGCGATCGCTCGGCGTGGCCTCTCCACCTGACAGGGTCGTCGTGTGCGTGGGAGTGTGACAACGCGTTCCACGTTGACCACGGCGATGAGCGCTTCGCTTGCGAAAGCCACAGCGCCTCAGTTGTCTATCGACCCTCATTAACGGATAGATAATACAGACGGTGACTTACACTGCATAAGTAATGCAGTTTAAATAAGAGAGGCGCGGGGTCTGTTCCACCACGTCAGTTAAACTTAATCCGTTGCCCACGCAAGTGACTTAAGGAATTTGTTTTTTGTATTCGTGTTGGATGAGAATGAGGTTAAGTTACAGCAATCGCGTGTGAAAAACGCGGACGGTGTGTTCACGTGTCCAACGATTCCCACTGCTGGCTGAAGGCCTCCTCAAGACTCCACAACCTATAATAGGGGTTTTCCCCTTTTTTCTGGCAACAAAACTGAAACCGTTTTACACGGAATCATGTCTGCATTAACCACAATACTTGTGGCCAAAATGCAAACTAAAAACACACTGATAATATATGCATTGTCCTTGAAACTGATTGGTCCACACCAGAGACAGCTTTCTTTTGAGCCTCGTCTCAAAACGGTGTTAGACCAGATGACGCCAAAAGGCGTACAGCTCAAAGACAATGCACTATCAAATTAATGAGAGCTCGGGGTAAGCATCTACATCATTAGACCTCCTTTGCCAGTACCAAAGTATAATAATAGCTGAAAAACCCTATTATAGGGGAAAACCCCTATTATTATAGGGGAAACCCCCTATTATTATACTTTGATACTGGCAAAGGAGGTCTAATGATGTAGATACTCCACAACCTCTCACGAGGTTGCTGCTATAAATCTCCACAAGATAAACCCCTTTGTTGAGCTATCATTTAAGGCCAGGTCGCTTCTGGAAAATAAGCTAATAGCTCATTGGGCTTTACCTGGTAAGCTCAACAATAGTTTAGTTTTATTTGCATATATGTTTGAGTTATATGTTTACCTTTCCTATACTTTGCACTCCCATCGTGATTTTGCACTGTTTGTTGTTGTAACCTTCTGACCCGCCCCTACTGTACGTCTGTGAAAAAGAGCTTTGTAGCTCATCGGATTCCCCCTGCAGTAAAAAAAATATTCTGATTCTGATCCCGTGATGCATGCTACTAATTTATGATCGTCGACAAAAGTCTACTAATGCACGATTGCTTCACAACACCGGGTAAAAGCCACGCAATCACCCCTCCCCACGAGGACACCGCGCGCGATTTACGAATCGTAGAAGGCGCAGAGGGCGGTGCGCGCGCCATGGACATCAGCAGCAGAATTAGAAGAGAGCTCACTCTAACGCGAAACAATTACATTGCGTGTAGGCATTCTGGATATTAAGAGCTGTGTGCCGACGTCTAAATCAACGTTGAGCGTTGCAACTTTGATTTAGTTCAACAATTCGTCACTCACTAAACAAAGATAACTACATTTTAACTAAACAAAGAGAACTGAAACAACCAAGGTCAATCGTCGTTTTGTTTATTCCACGTTGGCAGTGGTGCATAAGCGCCACCGATTATCTACCTCCTGTAAAGAAAAGCCATTGTTCTAAACGTCGCATGTACGTACTTATTTAAGCCAGCGTTATTGACGAACGCGTGGTGTTCTTTTTTTACATTTAGTTTATAACAGGGGAGCGTGTGGCATCGTCCAGAATGGTTAGTGGTGGAACGGTCACGCTGGAGGCGTTGAGGGGAGCCCCCCTCCCCCCGTCAAACGGCGACAGTGACACGAGACTTCACCCCCCCCCCCCCTGGACGAAACACGAGGAGGAGCGGACCGACTGAGAAAGTAAACAAAGCCGAGATCGGGGAGCGAGGCAGCGCAGCCCTCGCATAACCCGCGGCGGTGGGAGAACGCGTTTTGATGCGACGGCCCGGTTATAGCAGGTTCAGTCCGGCTAGGATCTCGCGGGCAAGACAAATGTGGTCCAGTACAGAACGTCCTCGCGGCGTTGTGTGGATGTGATGGGGGTTTGTGCGTCACACGCAACGGGAGATGAAGGGAGAAGAGACGAGGAGGGGTCGGGATTTACCAGTCTGGCGTGAGTGGGGGTGGGGTGTGAGTGGGGGTGGGGTGTGAGGAGTGGGGGATGGGGATAGTGGGAGGAGGAACAGACACCAGATGTGACCTCCCTTCTCGCTATAAAAGCCCTGCCCGACAGACGCTGGTGGTGAATATTGCCTTGGCTCGCCGGCTCGGAGGGGCGCTCCAGCGGTTTGGCGGAGCCGCTTGGCCTCGCGCCCCTCCAGCCCATCCACCACCCACACACTCCTCAGCCGCCCCCCCACACACTCCTCAGCCGCCCCCCACACACTCCTCAGCCGCCCCCCACACACTCCTCATCCGCCCAGCCACCTTCTCAACCAAATCAGCCATACATCCATCCATCCATCCGGCAGCGCTCGCTCGCCCATCAATCCAGCCACGATCTCCACACCGCCCGCCGGGTGCGTGATGCTGGTGGACCAAGACATCGTCGGCGCTCTGAGCTCCACGAGGATGAGGGGCCTGGCCTCCGTGCTGCTGGGTAAAGTGCGCAGACGACATCGACGAGCGGCGATGCGGCCACGTACGCGTCTCTTGGCGGTGATGGATACCCGCGCTGGACGATGTGTTCGTGATGTTTGCCTCTCGCTAATTGTCACCCACGCGGCTTTCTCCCGGCGCAGGATTCCTCAAGCAGAGGGGAGCTGGCTTCAATGACTTCGTGCACAAGCTCGTGGCCACGGATCACCACCAAGCCGTGTGTCAAAGGTGAGTTTGCCTCTGTACTCCTCTTCCCAACCGAGATGCACGCAAGCTACCGAGCCATGCCGGGTCTCGTGGCCCGTCGGAAGAGACACGAGGGTCGCTCCCAGGTTGTTGCGATCTCTGATTAGAACACCTCCCCCCCCCTGTCATCCCATCATCCCCGCTCGCTCGGAATGAACAACACGCTCTGAACGCAGTCGCGCTGTTATTGCCCGACATCGTAGAGATGTACTGTGTGGGTTAGTGGTGTGGAACATTTACCACGGGTTCGGAGCAAAGGAAATGCTACCAACACTTGTATGGTAATGTAAAACTTTCGTGCAATGGCCCTTCTGCTCTGAGTAGGAAGCGTTATCTGAAACGTCGGCGTACTACACGTGTTTTCGACAATAACAACCCAAGTTGTACATCGCGTCTAATTGCGACCGCAAACTCACGGCGCCGTACAGCACCACGCTCGTGTGGCTGCTGCTGCTATGAGACAGCGTTTACGCGGAATACCGCGAATGCGCCTTGATTTTCCCTTCGCAAACTTCGGGTTTCTCCGGGTGCTCCCGAGTTTTCGTACACGTGTAAAGACTCCTTATTTGGAGGATAACACCTTGACATATAGAGGACTGCAGAGCGTGGGCAATTGTTGTCGCCGGCTGCCTTCCCGCTCGTCTGTGGTTCCTCCTCTCTCTACGAGAGCGACTCGCGTGCGGCAGCGCCTTACAAGTGAACACGAGTACTGTATTGAGTTCACGCGAGTATTGTATTGATTGTATGCATATACTGCACCTAGCAATTACAATCAACGGCGCCAGCGGGTGAATGAGTTTTTTTAATGCTCCTACAAAACAACGTTGCTTAAATTGCTATCATTGACTTGCTAAATTTGCATCTCTTAAACGCTGTAACTTAGCCAGGTGCGTGTTTTTACAATGTCATGGCAAAATAAGTGATGCTCGTTATTATTGTCTAAGCATTGCTGACGCTGCTGTCCGTGACTGCAGCGCTGCCACGTGCACGTGCCCCTCCGTGTCTCCCACCAGCGTCGGCCCCAACACAAAGGCCGACCACGACAATGGAAACAAAGTGAGTGGTGGGCCGAGCAGCCACGAGCCACGGGACGTTACTATGGCCAGGGCACAGGCGTGCCCAATGCTGTTGAACCTTACAGACCGACCGTACTGGACATCTGTGAAACAGAGCGTCATAGCTCATCGGATTCCTCTACCAGGCTAAAGAAACATTCTGATATAAGAACCTTTGTGAATCGGATAATCAGCAGCATGGGCCATGATACATTCTCTGTTGCTGGATGAATGTCTCCCCAAGCCGTCGCCGTCTCTCGCGATGTTGCACCGTAATCGTGCAGCTGCACATTGTGCAGTCCCTGGAACAGTCTTGTTCTAGCAGTCTCGAGCAAAGATGTAAAATAACCCACCAGCGGCAGTCTGACGTATGTATATATTTGGGCCATTGCAAAAAATAATAGTGGGGTTGGATGCCGCATCCATCTGAAGAGGTTGGGAGTTGATGGAGCTGCACAGTGGGGGGGGGGGGGGAGGCTGGTAGCGGTATTGGGGGGGGGCTGGTAGCGGTATTGGGGGGGGGGGGGGGTGTGGCACCGTGAGACTTCTGTGTTCATTGGAATGCCGATTGGCGTCGCTGCGTGATGCGCTGCTGGTGCCACCGGAGACTCCGGCTCTTCCTGGGGGTCTGCACGACAACCGGACGGCTCTCGCTGGATCTGGTTCTGGTGGGAGGGAACATTGGGGGGAGGGGGGGGAGATGCTGTCACATCAGTGGAGCGTTTGGTTAATTTGCATCGCTTTCTTTCTGTGTGCAGCAGCAGCAGACTGTGGCTCCAACCGAGATGATTAACCTGGGGCCATCTGCAAACCCTCAGTGAGTGTCTAATCTCTAGAAACTTGCTCCCATCACACCTGTTCAGGTTGTTCGGATGTACAATGTTGTGGTCTTGTGTACAAGTTTTAACGTGTGTGTTGTCATTTATTTTCTAGTGCAAAACCAAGCGATTTTGACTTCATGAAAATTATTGGCAAAGGCAGCTTTGGAAAGGTTTGTTTTTTTATCATAAAACTAATCGCCTTGCTGCATGCATTTCATTGACGTCGAACCTTCTTCACTCGAGGTGCAAATTTGCGGTTTAGTAAATCATAATAATTATTCATCATTATTCATTGTTGCTGCTGTGTCCTGCAGGTTCTTCTGGCCAAACATAAGGCCGATGGGAAGTTTTTTGCTGTGAAAGTTCTGCAAAAGGAGTCCATTCTGAAACGGAAAGAGGTGCGTCAACTTGCGTTGCATTTATTCATTGGGAGTGCTTCAAATAGTGAATTAGCATAGGTGTGGAAAATTAGCCATGATGTGCTCTCAGTCTTTCTCCTGAGTTCGCATTTCCCAGCATCTCTGGAGGGGAAATTTAATGAACGCCACTTTGTGCAAAGTCGACTGTAATATTCCCACCGCTGGCTCGGTGTCATCAACCGCGATTGGCACCACTTTCCATTAACGTGAGCAAGTTAAACGTTGCGCCGTGAACAGCAACAACTCCCATGGGCCCGCTCAGTGGGGTGGCCCTCCTCCAGCAGCGGCTGTACAGGAGGAGGGGGGGGGAGGGTCGTGCACGTGCCGAGGCCTGACACGAGAGCTGCGCGCCGCTGCTACCGGTCTCCGTGTGTGGGGCATCCGTGAAAAAGAGCTTTGTAGCTCGTCGGATTCCTCCAGCATAAATATTCTGATTCCAATTCTCCAGGAGAAGCACATCATGGCGGAGAGGAACGTGCTGCTCAAGAACGTGAAGCACCCTTTCCTGGTGGGGCTCCATTACTCCTTCCAGACTACCGACAAGCTCTACTTCGTCCTAGACTACATCAACGGTGGCGAGGTGAGTGGCACGGAGAGGCCCGCGCTGCCGTGGCGCCGCGTGACATTGGTGGGGGTGGGGGAAGGAGGGGGGTGGGGGTCTTGGTATCTCGATTGGGCGGCACGGGACAGCCTAGCTGGTCACGTTTGACGTCAATGTCGGTGCACGTGGCGAATTAGACGAGAAGGCTGCCCAGCAACTAACCGCACGATCAAACCTGTTATAGGTTAAAGTAAACACGTCTCTTTAGCTTCTTGAAATGAGCAGCGATTAAGAGGCATTGAGGAGACATTCCAACCCGACAGCCAGAACAATGGGAACGAGCAGCCAGGTGACAGGTCGGGTGAAGGCGCTGGGTCGATGATCACATCGCAAGTTTGCGAGGGAGGCCTTCATCCATTGGTGGATTGAGCAGGGCTGATGGATTGTGTCCCTGTTGCTCATGGTCAGCGCTCTCCCACGTGTGCTGCAGCTGTTCTTCCACCTGCAGCGGGAGCAGTGCTTTGTGGAGCCGCGCGCGCGGTTCTACAGCGCTGAGATGGCGAGCGCCATCGGTTACCTCCACTCCCTCAACATCGTCTACAGGTGCGGGACGCTGCCCCCCCACCACGCACAGCTCGCTACCAGAGGGTCATTACATTGTTGTTGTCAGCCATGCTCGATCTACTGCTGGACGAAGGCCTCCCCCACCACCCCCCCCCCCTCCAAACCGCTTCCACCTCCTGCGATCTTGCGATAGGAACAAATCCACCCAGCTCCTCCACGCAAACCGATTTCATCGCTCCGTCTCTTGGGGGATCCCATTCTGGCGTGCTCCAAATCTAATGCGAAAATCTAGGATTTCTGGAATTAACCGGTGCGTGTTGTTGTCTTCACAGAGACCTGAAGCCAGAGAACATACTAGTGGATCATGAGGTGAGCTTCAGTTGATCTCGACCACATGCAGCTTCGTCTTCTTTTTCTTGCCAAGTTGTTTTCTTGCCGGATTTCAAGTTGTGGACGCTAACGCTTTTTCGCAATGCGATTGTGACAGGGCCACCTCAAGCTCACCGACTTCGGGCTATGCAAGGAAGGCATCCTCCCCAACGACACCACCTCCACGTTCTGTGGAACCCCAGAGGTGACGACACCTGCCACGACTAAAACACCTTGAGCAGTTTCACAACCAACCCATCGCCTCGTTTCACATGTCATTGTACAAACCGACGTGGGCATTTTAATGTCGGTGATTTTGTGCTCAAATGAGTACTGAAACGGTGCTTTTTTTATTCGATATTAAACAGCAGAGTCGCTGGCGGTGGAAATGGCACATTCCTTAGGCAGGGGAGAGTCCATCAAAAGTGGCAACCACTATTGACTTCCTCAAAAAGTAGTAGTAATTTTATCCACCCTTGAGCAGCGATGGGCGAAGGTTAACCCACAACCAGGATTTAAACTTTGAAACCTTCGGATAGCAAATCCGCCCGCTCTGCCGTTGAACCACCCGGACGGTTAAAGTCGCCGGACTGAAATCTCGCCAGTCCGCCGGGTTCTGTGAGCGTGCATGGCGGATCCGGCCGTCGCTCGTTTAAGTTTGCGCCCCGCGTCTCTCTCGTCGAGCAACGCGAGAGACGTGACACCCTGCCGTGTCCCCTTCCGTTGCTCCCCCGCCGTGCGTGCACAGTACCTCGCCCCGGAGGTTCTACGCAAGCAAGCCTACGACCGCACCGTGGACTGGTGGTGCCTGGGCGCCGTGCTCTACGAGATGCTCTACGGCCTGGTGAGGCTGCGCCCAGTGGGACGGGGATGGGGGCAGCCTCGTGGCCCCCCACCACCCAGTGCGGGTTAGCGTGGTTACCGCCAAGCTTTTGTGGTGGTGAGGGTTAACTTGTGGCGTAACATGTCCCATTGTAGTGCGTTCGGCAAAAGGGTACTTGGTTTAAATTAAAAAAAAAACTTATAACGTAACAAAAATAACCCCCACTTCATTGCCCTTTCCGTATAAACATCAGTTGCTGTCATGAGATTTATTTAATGGTGTCTTGATTAACAGGTGCACTTAATATAATAATAATAATAGAATTTCGCACAATTCTGTTAACTTGTTCATGGTGTTGTCATTTGCACTTAAAAATACAAAAACATGAAGCAGAGGTCGTCTCCATCATCCAGCCGCTTGCATTTCCACATTTTTACGTAAAAGCAAATATCAAATAATGCCACTGTTGAGCACATATAGTCTCTGTTATCGTTTGCTCAAGAACCTGCCCTGTCCCATTTTGATGAGGCGGGGTGGGGGGGGGGGAAACTCCTGCAAGACATTAACAAAGACTGAACGGTGTTTGAACTTGCGTAATAGATGGGGCGATCCCGGATCTAAAAATAATTAAATCTTTGTCTTTCGCGTTGCAGCCGCCGTTCTACAACATGGACACGACGGTGATGTATGATAACATCCTGAACAAGCCGCTGCAGCTGCCACCCGTCACCACCAACGCCACGCGCTCCATCCTGGAGGGGCTGCTGCAGAAGGACCGGGAGAAGAGGCTTGGCGCCAAGGGGGACTTTGTAAGCAGCGTGCACCCTGCGGGCCCCCCCCCCTTTTTGTCCGCAAGCAGCCCGGCGGCTCTGTGCCGGGCCCTCCGGCGGCTCTGTGCCGGGCCCGCCGGCGGCTCGCAGTCGCAGCGGCTGAGAGGTCAAATCCTGGTTGGGGGTTGACTCGGGACTATCATCTCTCCTGGCGTTGATATCATGAATACCACTTTGTTGGGGAAGGTCGCGATCGTGGTTTGTCCTATGGATGGACACGCCCCTGCTTTAGGGATGTGGAATTTGTACCGCACAGCTCGGCTATAAACGGGGTAGATAAGCACCACCTCGTTTCTCGTTGGCAGGAAATCGCTGCGACTTGTTTTAGTTTATGGACCAGAGCAGAATTGAGTATCACTCGAATGGTGACAAATATTTTCTGGAACCAGCTTCTGTATATGGAGAATAAAAGTGGATCGTATGATTTCATACATATTTAAGTACGTTATTGCGTAGTCTACCTTAGATGATTTTCAGTGGCGGGTGGTGCGTGCAAAGTAAAATGTTTGTTATGGGCCCATGGACTACTTGACCTGCCCGCCACCCGGAGCCTTGCCCTCTCCTCATTCACCCTTTGCATGGCCCTTCTTCCTTAGCCCTGCTCGGATGAGGTGGGCTCACATTTACATCGAGAGCCGTGAACTTAGCCGGGGAAATTCTGCATTCCCATTAGTGGCCGTAGTTGAATCGCTGGCTTAGTTCCCATAAATAAATTGCAAATGTATCAACCCCCAGTTGACCCATGACCCAGGATGTGCATGTGTCCATGTGTGATAGTTGTACTCTAAACACACACACACGCTTTGGATAGTTTGTACCATGCACATCGTCCCAAAGCACATCAACAATCATACAAATATTATTGTTTCCAAAGTTGCATTGACATAAATTCCATTGCAGATTCATAGATCGTTTCTGACTTGGCAAAACAACAATTTGCTACACACACTATTGGGTCTTACTTATGCAGTATGGTTTCAACTCGTCACCAAATATATATGAAACATCAAAATGTAAATTAACGGCTGACAATGTGTGATCTCTTGCAGCTGGAAATCAAGAACCATGTCTTCTTTTCACCGATCAACTGGGAAGACCTCTACAACAAGAAGATTAAGCCTCCCTTCGACCCCAATGTGGTACGCTTGAGATTGCGGGAGAAAAACACACTCTATACCGCCGCCTTCCCATTACGTGATGCTTCATGTACTGCTCTCCCACGTTACGGAGCATGAGGATTGCTCCTCTATTGGCATTCCTTGGTCAATCATGGAAATTGCGCATTCCCCCATGGCAGGCACGACTGACTTCTTCCTACAGTGGTACTCCATCAAAACGATGGGCCGAGTCTACCTCCTTGATGTTAACTAGCATACACGCATCAAGGGTATCCTGATTGAGTATCAAAGCTTTCTCAGGAGGGTCTTGCGACATTGGGATGTTTGACCAATTCCGTTTGTGAGAGTTTGGCTCCGTGTGCAAGGACAGGGATAGATCCACAGAGACTCGATGATCCATGACTGCTACCATCTCCTTGGCCCCCTTGCACTTTTCCCGCTTGCCACAAGTTTCGCTCGCTCCGTTTCACCGCTTCACTTTGGAATTCCCTCCGAAGGCCCCTCTTAAGCTCTCATAAGCACCTTGCTCGATTCAATAACTTGTGTACAGTATCATCCATCGATTTGCAAACTTGAAAAACGCTGTTTGTTGCTGGCCATTTGTCGGTTTGAGCCTTTGGCTCTGTGCTCTGCAACTGCGATTAAATTATTATGATGGTGATAATGAACCACGCTGACCTGTGTGTGCGTTCTGCAGCTGGGACCGTCGGACCTGAGCCACTTTGACCCGGCCTTCACGGAGGAGCCCGTGCCGGGCTCCGTGTGCCGCTCGGGCGAGGAGGAGGAGGCGCTGCGCAGCGCCCAGGAGGCTGACGACGCCTTTGTCGGCTTCTCCTACGCTCCCTCCTACATGGAATAGAGGGGCTGTGTGTGTGTGTGGAGTGGAGAGGGGCTGTGTGTGTGTGTGGAGTGGAGAGGGGCTGTGTGTGTGTGTGTGGAGTGGAGAGGGGCTGTGTGTGTGTGTGGAGTGGAGAGGGGCTGTGTGTGTGTGTGGAGTGGAGAGGGGCTGTGTGTGTGTGTGGAGTGGAGAGGGGCTGTGTGTGTGTGGAGTGGAGAGGGGCTGTGTGTGTGTGTGGAGTAGAGAGGGACTGTGTGGAGTAGAGAGGGACTGTGTGTGTGGAGTAGAGAGGGACTGTGTGTGTGTTGAGTTCACATAGAATCATCCAATCATGTGCGCAATAATTATTTACAATTTATGCAAATTATATGAAAATAAACAAGCGTACTACATTAAGGCCAATGGAACAAACAAGAACACCGATGAATGGCGGGCAAGACAATATTTGTTTTAATCAAATCTCTCGGCTTGAAAATCGTGACAATCCATCAACTTGTGGGATGCTGTGAATATTTAAGTGCCTGCGATGTGCACGGCAGACACCGCTCCTACCGGCCATCTGGAGGCGCGGGTGCGGTGATCGCATAGCGCCTCGATCGCCGGCACCTTCGCGACGCTCACTTTGCGAACGCCGTGTCGGGCGGACCGGCGTGCAATCTTTGCGTTGTCGCCCCTGCAGGGAGGTGCCCGGCTCGCACCCGCTAGCACGTGGTGGGCATTGAAGGCAGCCTCGCACGGCGCGCCCCACACGAATGTATCATTACACGGAGGATTTCTCTGACCGTGGTTTTTGTATAGATAGTTGCTGCTGCTGCTACTCGATGATGGTGCTCAAATATTGAAGACGAGACGTTTTTAGTTTTCGCTGATATGCACTGATTGTTAAATAGGTGAAGGTTGAAATTACCAAGTTGGGTTTTCTTTTAAATGAACATTTGCAATAAGTGTCGTTAATCCCTACGCTTCATTGAAACTATGCAAGTGTATTTTACAAACGGACATTGTGAACGTTCGTTTTCCCGAAAAGGTTTTAAAGCATGCTTTGTTTTGGTTTTATGGATTATTTTTTTACTTTTAACATTTCCTGCACTGATTTTTTTTTCCCGTCACTCCTTAATCATTCCAGCGACATTTCAAAATGAAAACTTGACCGTGAACTTTTGTGAATGAAGCAACAAAGCGCTATACTTGTTTCGGCAGAACCATTACATTCCCCTTCAGCAGGTGCCTGATGTTTAGCATCCAAATACTCTTTGTGTCCAGCAATTTGTACTCCTACTTGAACAAATGTACATCTGTACATAACTCTTGAACAATAAAGGGTAACATTTTATATGGTTCGTCTTCGTTTCTAACTGCTATCAGCTTGAGCTATGTGCTGTTAATCTCCAATGTACCTGGTATTGGTCAAACATCCCAATACCGAAATATTACCTGCAAATTCTTCTTCAATTGGAATTACGTGTGGTGAAACATCGCCCACCTACTTAGAACTTGGCAGGGCGCTCCTGAAAAGGAGTCCTGGGACTCCGAGGGTTTCCTGGGTAAACAATCGTACTAGTAATCGTGGCAATCATTTAACGAGATGAAATGTCGACCCGTTGAGACCCATGAAACATCCATTGCCTCTTGTCAGGATGGCTTAAATTACATAAAGTAGTTTCTTTTTTAAGTACTGTTTAAAATAAACATTTGAAAATCAACACATTCAGGCTACAAAAGGTGAATTGTACTTTTGTAAAGTAATAATGTGGCTTTGGAACGAATAGTGACTTGAAAAGGCAACGGAGCCTAGATAAATTAGCACAAACCTGCGATGGAAGTGTAAACAATTTGGATGAATGCAGCCAGAACAGATTTAACATTAAAACTCCAGCGAAGAAAAAAATCAGCGCTCATGCAAACCCCCACGATGGGTGTCGCTTAGCATACTGCGCTGGCCGAGACTGGGGTGGCTGTCTAGAAGCCTGGCCGAGCTAATTGTGGAAAGTTTATTAATAGGTGGGAGTTGGGGGGCATGCCTGCTGGGGGGGGGGGGGCAGTTTAGTGCTGGGGGGCTGCTGACCTTGCACGCTTCGTCGTTGTCGCTGCTGTTGCTGCTTCAATCACACCCTGCAGCACCGCATGCTGCCGTTGTGACGTCACGGTTAAACATGGGACCCGCCACCCACGTGGGGCCATGACGTCGCCACTCATGGCTCGAGGCAAGGAGGCCGGGGCCCCTCCCTCGGTGGCTCGGAGCCAGTGGCGCCAATGCCATTCTCGTGGCAGGAGCCAGGGAGGTTACCACGGAGACAGACCAATGGCTTACAGTTGCCCAAAGACTGTCATTTTAAATCGTTTGCAACTTCTGAGTCGAGAGATTTAACCAGGGACACCGCTCGCAATTGAATCGGTTTCGTTTTTTTTTTCACAAGAACAGCCCCAATGCGTATCAATGTCAAATCTTACATTAGCGTGAGAAGCGAAATTGTGAATGTCCAGCTGTCTGGGTGTAACACTGTGGCGCGATTGAAATTCTGTTGGTGGGATCTCTTCTGCTGCAAGAACGAACATGTCACGTGACGTGTGGGAGTGCGATGTGTGTACGTTGAACTTCTTTCGCATCGTACGTAGCCAACCGTGCCAATCGGAGATGTGGAGGAAGGACACCGAACTGGATTGTTTCAGGCTCGTGAGAGATGGCAGCGGCTTGGGGAGGCCTTCATCCAGCAGTGGATTGACCATGGTTGATGCTAATGTTGTTATACACTTGAAGACAAATGATTAGAAACACAAACCTCACAATCAGAATATGTATTTACACTGGAGGAATCCGATGAGATCTCTAGCTATTTTTCTCAGAATTCCAGTATGGGTGGGTAAGAACGTTACAACAACACAACACAGAGACACACGAGTTGGACCCATCTTAATAACACGTAGTATATTTTCTGTTCTCAGGCAATGTCATTTATGAACGTTGTTCATGTTTTGGTTTTAAAAACGACTTCACCCCCCACATTCCCACGCCATGACCTCCACTCACGGCCCTCTCTGCTCTCACGCACTTCGATCCATTCGCCTTGATGGTTGACCGCAGGTGAGGGTGTCACGCGCGATCGTGGGATGGATTGTGTACTTTGTACGCAAAGCGATATAGAACGAGATTGATAAACCATCGGATAGTTTTCTGGCTGGATTCCTGCCTGCCTGGAATTCCTGGCGTGCGGCCAAGTGCCACACGCATCTGCGTGATGACGTCACCCGAATTCCACAACGTTGAGCAGGGTTCGCGCGTAATGACGTCACGCTTCTTCCCCACCCACCCACCCTGAAGTGGGGCCGTGGGTCCTGCGTCAGAGCGATAGAGGAGAGCGATGGGGAGAGGGTGGAGGGGAGATAGAGGGGAGAGATGGGGAGAGGGTGGAGGGGAGATAGTGGGGAGAGATGGGGAGAGGGTGGAGGGGAGATCGAGTGGAGAGATGGGGAGAGGGTGGAGGGGAGATAGTGGGGAGAGATGGTGGAGGGTGGAGGGGAGATAGAGGGGAGAGATGGGGAGAGGGTGGAGGGGAGATCGTGGGGAGAGATGGGGAGAGGGTGGAGGGGAGATAGTGGGGAGAGATGGGGAGAGATGGGGAGAGGGTGGAGGGGAGATGTAGGGGAGAGATGGGGAGAGGGTGGAGGGGAGATAGTGGGGAGAGATGGAGAGAGGGTGGAGGGGAGATCGAGTTGAGAGATGGGGAGAGTGTGGAGGGGAGATAGTGGGGAGAGATGGTGGAGGGGAGATCGAGGGGAGAGATGGGGAGAGGGTGGAGGGGAGATAGTGGGGAGAGACGGTGGAGGGTGGAGGGGAGATAGAGGGGAGAGATGGGGAGAGGGTGGAGGGGAGATAGTGGGGAGAGATGGGGAGAGGGTGGAGGGGAGATAGTGGGGAGAGATGGTGGAGGGTGGAGGAGAGATAGTGGGGAGAGATGGAGAGAGGGTGGAGGGGAGATAGTGGGGAGAGATGGTGGAGGGTGGAGGGGAGATAGAGGGGAGAGATGGGGAGAGGGTGGAGGGGAGATCGAGGGGAGAGATGGGGAGATGTGGGGGGAAAATGACTTTGACGCAGTCGATCAGGCATTTGTAGTAGGGTACTCATCATAAAGTTATTATTCAGTGGTGGAAAGTCCACATTCATATGACGGAGGCGAGTCTATCCGGACAACCGCTGTCGGCGATTTGAAATATTCTGGCCCACAGCGCCGCCTGGTGGAACGAAAGGGCATTGCAAACATCCTCCATAAAACCTCTAAGTAGTAGTTATGTGTTCTACAGTATGCGCATGCACATAACACGCTACGTGTGACGTATTGTCATCGTGGAAATTGCCGTCCATCGCCGCCTCGTTGTGCTCATTCGTGCAGCGTCTCGTCGTGCCCCCGTGTCTGGACGCGAACCTGTGGCTAGGGCTGTCTCGCGAGTTCACCGTCTTGGAGCGCCGCCTGGTGGCATCGTGAGGACTTCCCGGCCCGCGAGGGAAATGTGAAAGTATCTTGAGCGACTGACTCCGACATCGCGATAATTATTGCAATGGTTCGCACACTGGGCTTGCAATCCAGAGGTCGCCGGTTCGATCCCATCTCCCCGCGTGGCAGTCAGAACCACCTCTGTGGAGCCAGAGGTCGCCGGTTCGATCCCATCTCCCCGCGTGGCAGTCAGAACCACCTCTGTGGAGCCAGCAGAATAAACGCGTTCACTACAGTCGATCGGTCATTTGTAGCGGGGTCAAGTGTAGCAGGGTCAAGTGTAGCGGGGTCAAGTGTAGCGGGGTCAAGTGTGGGTGCTCCCTCACTTGACCTTCAAAACGTCTGGGAGTAGGCCGCATGTCCTCTAGAGAGAGCCCTCTAGATTATCTGGTCACGGATACACGGCGTTTGATTCTGGATTGTCATCCGTCTAGGTTCGATCACAATGGTGCTACTTTGAAGGACATCAGCAGTGGTTGTATTGAGGATAAAATAATCTGTCATGGGAATGTGGAATTTTCACCACTGGAAACCACTGACCTTCAATTGACATCAGAACCGTAGTTTTTAAATGACAGAATACACTTTAAATAAAACATGGAAACGTGGCAGTGATTATG